TCACCATACTTCTCAGCGCGAAACCAATATTTGTCTTCGATTTTGACATTTTATGATCGAAACATATCATTAAAAATTGGTGGGCTGATTTGTTATTTGTCAAACCGCATTATATTAATGTTAAATTGAACAACTTTTATGGATGCTTTTTAGATCGTAAATGCAAATGGCGACGTTTTGAAATGACAATGTACTCAATTCTGTGCTAAAAAAATCATTCATATACAAACATTGAAGCATTGTTATATACTTTTGCGTAGAATAAAGTCATTAGTTGTTGTTTAGTTGACTTGAACTGTTATGAACCCCCAAGAATCAGAAATATCACAGGTTTTTCGATCGACTACGTTAACATGAACGACACCATTTTGACAAGATTTGTTTAGCAATGTCAGCATGTTGGCACGCGAAGTTTTTTCCCTATTAAAACGAGAAAATGAACATAATTCCCGATATTAATCTTTGCATTGCAGGAACTGGATGTTTATGAGTTGGTAGGCTGGTGGTGATGCGTATCATGGTTCAAAAACCCCAAATATCATAGTGATAATTTTGTTTACATGTTTGTTTACGTTGTGGTTGCCCGAATTTGAAGTCAAAGTGAAGTCATACAATGAGGTATCGCTTTGCATGACGGTAAATTTTGACGGTATTGTAATCTGTCTGACTTCCTGACTCCCTCGGCCCGCGTGTGAACGGTTTGTTTACCCGCACCACGGTTCGAGACAAAAGAATGCTAGTCGTTTCCATACCGGGGATAGAGGGACTGAGGTATATATTACCACTGCATAATTGGCTTTGTGTGATCCAATATCTGTGTTTTGTATAAATATCACAGTTCACAAAATTCTGACTTTGTAATACATCTTGGTTGTCACAATTGCGTGTGTCTGTTTATTGGCAGGGATTCTTGGGGTAGGATTTATACAGAGGTAGTGGCAATAGATGCAATACATTTCACCAACCCTAAAGACCAATTTAAACCTGGTATGGTTAAAAGAGAACTTGATAAGGTGAGGAATACTGAACCATTACATTTCATTACTCATATTTTTGGCAGATTCCTGAGCCATTTTTGTACGCGATTTTATCTATAATTTAATCCAGACTGATTTTTTTTTATTTTTTTTTTAGCTTTATCACAAAGCTAAATTTTAACATTAGTGATAAATTTGTAAATAACACTTGATCATTCATCCTCATTTTTCATGATAATTAGTCTGAAAAATGCATTTTTTGAAATGTACTTTTTCTTATTGATGTAAAAAATTTATTTGGCTGTTAACTAACAACTTTTAGAGGTGATCTTGTTTTAAGTTCTTGCAATGTACTGTGAGCTGCTTTAATTTGTAGGTAGTATAGGCTCCATTTTTGTAATTTGTCTATTTTTTTATTGTTTTTTATGAACATATTTTGATTTTACTAGTTGTTACCCAGGTTTTTTTTCATTATATCATATCTAGTATATCTAGGTCGTCTTTAAGACTACCAAAATATTATATGAAAAAACTCACAAGTAAAACAAAAAAAATAGTCAGAAT